CTACAACCGGGGAGACTGGCTGGATCCCCTGACGCTTGCTTGGTGCATGGGGTTCTCCAGACCTCGTACTCCCCGGCGCGTAGTTCAGGAGGTGAGGGCCGCTTTACCACCCGCTGCTCGGGCCTATCTTGACTGGGTCCTGTGAGAGGGCATGCTCTTCCCATCTCCACCCTAGGCCCTCCGGACGTTTTCATAGGGCCCCTGTCCCGTGGACGCAACCACCCCCGCCCCTTCACTGTGAGCCGGCTGCACAACTTGCAGCCGGTTCATTTCCAGACTGCACCAAGGAAACATCTATACACGCTCGTGCTCCACACTCTTCACTTCCTCACCCTCACGTCCCGCCCCGACACAAAGTGGCAGGACCTCCTGCCACCTTTAGAGAGTGAGGAACCCCAGTGGGCCAGCCTATATTCCACCTTAGTCCCGAGGCCCGCCGGGGATATCAGTTGGTGGCTCCTTCACAGGGCTGTGAGCACGGGGGTGTATTTGGCGTGGTTTACCCCTGTCCCGGACACCTGCCCCTTCTGCGGCGAGGGAGACCCTGGCACACGTTTACTTGCAGCCCCTATTCAGGCTCCCCACAAATATTTTGTTATGCTTCTGGTTACACTTCTCCCCTCACCTCCTTATCTATGCACTCCCTATCCGTGGCCCCACAAAGCCACGGGACCTCCTGGTCAGCCTCCTCCGGGCCCTGGCTAAGATGACCATCTGTAAAACCAGGGAGAGGAGGTTGGCCGACGGAGACTCCTGTGACTGTGGGGCCTATTTCCGATCCCCCGTCCATTCATGCATCCGGGCAGAGTTCCTCTGGGCAGCGTCCACTGACTCCCTTGACGCCTTCAAGGAGCAGTGGGCTCTGTCCAGGGTTCTCTGCTCGGTGTCCCTGTCAGATTCCCTTTGTTTGACCCTTTGACCGCACTCCTGTTCCTGTTATTTTATTAGTTGTCCCCTGAAATCACTTGGCTTCCAGGTCCTGTGGGATCCAGGTCCTTAGGCTGGGGGAAGGAGCCTTTAGCAGTGGATCCCAACAGGACCATACCACGAGAAGTTAGATAAAATTACATATGCAAAAAACATTTGCTACTACAGGACAAAAATAATTTGCACTCATGAGCACCTTCATCTGAGGATCTCAGAGTGCTCTACACACATGTAATTAAGCTTCAACACCACCTCTCTGTGGGAGATAATTATACATAGTTTATAGATTGGTAAAGTGAGAAACCGAGAGGTTAAATGATTTGCCCAAGGCCACCCAGTAAATCAGAATCTGAATCAAGAATACAATCCCTAGTCCCATAATACAAGCAGTAAGCACTCTCCTTTATTCCATAAAATCCTAACAGAACATTCACAAGATCAGCATCTCCAGTTTAAATACAAGCCTCTATTCAGCACAAGTGTCTCAGCTCTGAAAGTTAATAAAATTTCTCTTCTTCTCTTCATTCTTTTTGAAATGGCAGACATGATTCAGCTTTTAGCATCCCTGCACCAATACATTTCCTGAAACATTCATTATTCTGTACAGTTTGTACAACCAAATGCAGTTAGTTACAATTATTATGGCGATTAGTTAAGGCCCATTAGTGGAAATGCTTCATGAACTCTGTGCTCTGGGATTCTTTCATCCCCCTGACCATCCCCCACACCTTACAACTGTGTGTGCACTTTCTACATTTTCTTAAGACATCTTATAATGGTTAATCGTGACATACAGATCAGATGTGACATATTCTACTCACTCTCCCAGCTCCTTTAACCATTACACGTGTTTGTATTCTCTTGGCCTCAGAGAGCAATGAATGGAGCTGCACAGATTTCCCTGCTACAGCCTTGCCACACTCTACAGAGCCAGAGGTCCAGAGTCAGGAATACAGCAACTACACCCTTTTCTTCCAATGGACTCCCATTTTGGCCTCATCTAGATTAGGATTTAAAGGTGTAATGCTAACACATTTTCAATCTAGCATACACAAGGCACACTGCCCTTAAAATGTGATAAAATCTTAAAGATGCGGGGGGCACTACATTCATTTTCTATCTTAAAGCATCACATCAGACAGAGGCTGGAATTTAAAAGAACACTAAATCTGAAATTTAGTCACAATTTTTTAAGACTGAGTTTTAAAGCAGTTTCAGGTACTAGGTCTACAAGATTGTGGTTTTACAAATACATATTCCTATTTTTTAAAGTGTCACTCTTCCTTCAAATCAGGACTGGATGTTTTAAATGGAAGACATGCTTTAGTCACACACAAATGATTGGGCTCAACACAAAGGTAACTGAGTGAAATTCTATGGCCAGTGTATATAGAAGACAGACCAGATGATTTACTGATCTCTTCTTCTGTCCTTACAATTTAAATCCCCTATTGCTGTGAGAAAGACCCACGGAAACAAAAGGAGGAAGTGACCGACCGATACAAGAGGGGAAAAAAACAGTGAAACTGCCTGTGCATTGACAGACAAGATGGGTGAAGTAATATATTTTATTGGACCAACTTGATGGTGAGCCACACATAGCTGTTCTTCAGGTCTGGGAAAGGAACTCGCAGCATCACAGCAAAATGCAAGGTGGAACAGATTATTTAGCGTAAGTAGTTAGCACATAATGTAAGAAACCATTCAAGGTACAGGTTTCAGAGTGGCAGCTGTGTTAGTCTTTATCAGCAAAAAGAACGAGAGACTAACAAATGTATTTGGTCATAAACTTTTGTGGGCTAAAACCCACTTCATCAGATGGATGGAGTGTAAAATACAGTAGGAAGATTACACATACACACAGAACATGAAAAGATGGGGGTTGCCTTACCAACTGTGACCAGACAAATCAATTAAAGTGGGCTATCATCAACAGGTACAGTGGCCCGTTAACACCTCTGCAGTCATAGCCTCCCTGTAAAACTAGGGAGTTACAGATTGTTGTAATAAGCCATAAATCCAGAATCCCTGTTCAATCCATGATTTTTAGTGTCGAACAGACTAATGAACTTAATTAAGCTCATCTTTTGTCAATATTTTGTATAGAAAAGGCTAAACTGAAACAAAGTAAAATTCACACTGAATTTTAAGTATCTTTAACTTTGGTTATTAAGATACTAGGATTGTAACTAGAAAATAAGCAAAGTTATTTCAGAGAGTGACATTATGCATAAAAAAAGTAAACTGAGTAGGACTGGTTTGAATCTTGAAAGTGCTAGAAAACAGTGCTCATGAAACATTTATGCCAGCAGCAGAACTCAGTTCTGCAAAATGTGTTTTTTACATAAATCCACACGGACCTATGCTACGAAACTATGCCAGAATGCTAGGGCAGCTCTCAAGCATGGTTTTGGATGAACAATAAATAACTTGTTTTTATACAGCACTTTTCTTTCCAAAAGAACCTGAAGAGCTTTACAAGTTTATCCCAAAGGACCATTTCATTCACCCTTGAAACGCATAGTTAGTTATTTTTAAAGCAATCAATGTCCCATTCATGCAAGATGCTGTACACTGCCCAACTCTATCCTAAAAAGCTTAAAGGAAGCTTTTTAATGGTGAACAGCAACACTACACAACAGATTAGCGCACACATAGTGAAAAATATTGTACCTAAATGAAACAACGGGTGGGAAGAAGGTTAGAACTGGGCCCTTACACAAGCCCTCTTTTCCACCAGGTCTTCCCTCTTTGCACACTCCTGACTGTACTTGTTCCATGCTGCCCCTTGGTATAGCCTTGCTAACTAGAACACATCAAGCACCCTCTATTTCTTCCTTCAAGCTTTCTGGGCAGTAGTATCTCCAATGAACACAACTCACTAGGTTTGTACTGCACACATCCAGGTGCTGAATAACTGGGGCAGGGGCTGCGTTTTCTCAGGCACACCCCGCCCTCCCCTACCCCTGGCACTCCCGCTGACATGCCTTCAAGCGGTCAGAGCGATCGCCTGCGTCCTCAGCCAGGCTACACCACGAAACCACGCTCAGAAACCCTGGCCCCGGCAGCACCTGCGAGCGCACACGGCTCTGCCCGTAGCAGACGGAGCCGTGTTACGCGCCCTGTTGTGGTAGCCGTCTGGGTCCCAGGACGTTAGAGAGACAAGGTGGGTGAGGTCCTGTCTTTCCTCGGACCAACTTCTGTTGACGAGACAAAGCTTTGCAGCCACACAGAGCGCTTGGTCGGGTCTGGGAAAGGTCCTAGGCTTGCGAAGGGTCGCAGGTGCTGTGTTGCCACCCTCCGTGGCCGGGCACCAGGCGTGAAGGGAAAGCTCAGGCGAGATGGGAGCAGCTCCCTGGACAGGGGTCCGGGAGGGTGGGGGGATAAACAGAGACGGGAGAGCCCGGATTTAAGCCAGGCCCCCTGAGCCCTGGCCGGGGTACGCTGGCCTGACAGCTCCACATGGGCCCTTCCAACAGACTCCAAAAGGAAGCCCCCGGCCCGGTCCGGCTAGGCCGGCGGCGGCGCAGGGCCCGGACTCACCTCGGATTGAAATCCTGGAATAACCCGCGCAGGTTCATGGCGCCCCGACCTTCCGCCTCTCACTACACGGGACGCATGGCGCAAGCCCCGCAGTGCCCGGCCCCGGCGCTGCTACTGCCGCCGCCGCCGCCGAAGGAGCCCGTTCACCGACTTCTCCCTCCCCTCACAGCCCTCATCCGAGCCGGAGCGCTACGCGCAGCGCGCATGCGCATTTCTTCGGCGCATGCGCAGCAAGGCCGAGAAACCGCGGTCCCATTTCGCCTATCTTCCCCGACGAAAGGAAGACAGGCCCCCCCTCTCCTGGATGACCACAGGGTAGCGCGCATGCTCAACAGGTAGGCGCATGCGCTTTGAGGGAAAGGAACTTAAATCTTGCTGCGGTGGAAGTGGTTGAGTCTTTGATTCTTTCTGCTTGCCCCGCCCCCCGTCGCTGAGCAGCGCTGCTAGGCCCCGCCCACCTCCTAGGCTTTCCAATAAGCCCGACTTCCCGCCCTGCCTTTGCCTGGAGCCTAGCTCCGTCCCGCCCTATCGGCTGTGGGAGATGCTGCAGCCTGTGGCTACTCGTGACCCAGCCTCAGCCCCTGGCGGGAGCAGCTCCCGCCCTGGCGTTACCCCAGGAAGGCTCCAGTGGTGGCTGAGCCCTGGCGGCTGCTCGCAGGCTCCAGGGCCTGGCTTGGGGCGACACGGGAGAGGTGGGCGCCCTTTGGCCTGGCCGGCTGCTCTCGCCCCGCCATGGCTGAGCCAGCGCCCTGAGGAGAGGGCGCGGTGGTGGCAAGACGGTGGCTCTTGAATGTGTGGCTTTGTCGTAATGAGATGCCGAGGGGCCAACCCAGATGTCGTCTCTCTGCAGTCCTGGTTCCTAGAAGGCGTTGGGATGCTCTTGCGAATAGTCTCCAGATTTAAACAATTAGGGGACAGGAAACTGAGCATTCCTGGGGTAAATAGACTGTGGCTTTGGAATTCGCTTTGCTGATTTGTCCGGAAGAGCCCAGATTTGTGGACATTCAGGATACTTTGGAAAGCACATCTGGCATATGAAAGGCATTTTGTGAGCCGGGTTAGTTTAACTTTAAAACCAAAATATTCTGAACAGAATTTCCTTTATGCTCTTCTACTCCTGTCTTTCCCTTGTTCTTGTTTGACTTAATATAGCCTAACATTCTAACTAATCATTGTTCCTGAATACTGATGATCTGTAGGTGATAACTTGGGTCTACTTCTAGGCCTTTCACTTTTCAGAAAGAGCACATTAGCTGCATCTTCAGTATGCTTTTACCTTGACAGATGGTGATATTGACCTTTGTTCCATTGAACTGACTAAACTTACATTAAAGTAAAACACTAATAAATGTAAACTCTTTACCACTCTCAGCTTTATATGAAATATGCTAGCTTTCATGGCCCATATTCCAATCCACACAGAGCTAGCTTTAGCATGTTAAGGCAGCCTGCAAAACAATACTTTGCTTGCCCCATTGATGCAATGTAATAATTTTCTGTCCACTCTTACATCCCTAGGCACAGGTCTGGCCTAAGGATTTTGGGGACTGCCAGCAAGGTAAATTCTTTAGATACTCTGCAGTTATAACTGAATCATTTTACAAAAGAAGTTTGTTTGTAAAATATTTTAATTCCCCAAACCTCCAGATACAGACGTGAGGCCCAGTGGCTTGTTCCTTTCAAACCTAGTGAATGGTTTACATCCATTTTATGTTGTCAGGGCTGTGCTCAAGGGAAAAGCCTATTAGAAATGTGTTTATACTTAATAAATGAAAGCTGATATTTTTCTTTCTATTTTTAGTTTCATCAAAATAGGGAGCCTGCTGCTGTGAACTTTGTGGATCTCCTTATTCTAAAGCAGTGGTTTTCAACCTTGTTGCATTTGAGGTTGAAACCCTAAAATGTTTCAAATGGAGATGTTGACCCCTTTGGAAATCTTAGACGTAGTCTGCGGCCCTGAGGTTGAAAACCACTGTTCAATGGTAACAACAACCTTTTGCGGAATCCTTAGATATAGTCTGCAGACCCCAGATTGAAAACCACTGCTGTAAAGTGCAGAGGGAAGCAGCACCATGGTAGTAATCATTCTTGGCATATATTTAGCACTTTTCCCCCATAGATCGCAAAGTATTTTACAAAGGTGGGTAAATATTATCTTGATTTTTACAGATGGAGACACTGAGGAACAGAGAAGTGGCTTATTTAGGGCTTGTACACACTAGCCTTTGTCGGTATAACTTATGTTGCTCAGGGGTGTGAAAAAGCTATCCTCCTGATGGATGTAAGTTACACCAACTTAATTACTAGTGTGGTAACCAGACCTTCTCCCGCCAACATAACTACCGCTGTGACAGGATCCCTGGTGTGCAGTCTGGGACTGTGGGACCACTGTGCCCCCTAAACTCTCTCCAGCCTGGGCTGTCTCTCACAACCCTTTGGCAGCAAACCCATGTGATCGCTCAGCACAACCGCATGTGGAGCTAGATTGCATGAGTGCTTCCAGAGCCACTCATGAATCACACTGAGAAAGGTACCAGAGCCAAGACCCCCCCACCCCCCAGCTCCCCGCACTGTATCTCAGGAATATACCATCTTGCACTGCTCAAGATGGGCAGTGCAGATTTATTAATGAGGTCACTACTTCATCAATGGAAAGTGGCTATACACCAGCCTTTGCAAAACCTGAGCAGATTTGCCAAACGCTTCATACAAACTCACTGGTAAAGATAAACAGTAAAACAAATGTATTGACTACAAAACATAGATATTAAGTGATAGGCAAAATGTCAGACTTAGTTACCAAAAGAAATAAAATATAAGCACTCAATCTAAACTCTCAACCCTATTAGACTGGGCAACAACTAGACTAAGTGGTTTTTTTCACCCCACTGGATATTGCCGTCCTTAATATACAGATTTGTCCGTTAAATTTGTGCCGGTCCCCTCTGTTGGAGTCTTCAGTCTTCTCAGTGTCTTTGTTGCTTGCAGCATAGGTGGGGGGCAGGAGGAAAGGCCCAGCATGTGGCCACTGTTTCTGTTTCATAACCTTAGTCCAACAGTGCTCGGGGAGCACAAGTCCAAGCATATTCTGGGGACATTGCTGAGTCTCCAGGCAAAGTTGAGCAATTCCCCTATGTGGCTTCATGCAGGTGAATCAATGAATTATAGCTCCCTTGCTGGACAATGGTTGTTGATGGGTTGTTTAACACCCCACCCAGATGTTGGTTACTTTCCTTGCTGTTGCCTCTGGGGAAATAATATCTGGCTGATTCCCCAATTTACAGCATGTTTTACTGTCAACCTTTCAACACAATTCTCCTAACTTCATATGCATTAGTGATATACATATATGGATAGAGAAATGACTTTCAGCAGATCATAACCTTTCCCCTGATACCTTACAAGGCATGCTTTATATGTAATGTCACAATTATATACAGATGAGGAATATGGGGGGTTACTGGGTGCTCTCCCAAGATACAGAATGTCACAACCGTGTCTCACAGAGGCGGATTTATTATGCTGACTGGAAAGCTCTCTCCCATCGGCAGAGAGTATCTGCAGTAGCAGCCCTGCAGCTGCACCGCTGTAGTGATTCTAGCGTAGACTAGCTCTTAATGTCACGCAGCAAGTCACCGACAGAGGAAAAACAGAACTCTGGTCTCAGTCTGGTGCTCTTTTCACTGGCCTATGCAATAGAGAGGAGGGCAGTGTGGAGAAGAGAAGGCTGTGAAATAGCAGCATCCTGTTCCAGACTATACTGTCATCAATAGCCCTTCTCCTGCTGACTAACTGAGCTGAGATAGGGGTTTGGGTGTGGAGTGGAATAAGGGAAGGGCTGCTCCATCAGGCATGTTTTCCTCTTAGAATGACATAATCTGAGCTGGAATATCCTTTGGAAGTTAATGCTGCTCCCTACGCACGACCTTCCTCCCAACTAGTGTTCAGGGAGCTGGAATGCAGGTGGCAGATGGGAACACCGTGGCAGCACAGCAACTGAGACAGCTCTGATGCCAGGCCTGGGGAGCATGGATGTAAAGGGAATTTTTCACCATATATTTTTTTCCCTTCTGATCTCAGATCTATGGGAGGTTTGAAGACCGTATTCCCTTGCACCAGTGCCATCAGATCAGCCCCTCTCAAGGTAGCTAAGCTGCATGACTAGAAATACCATATGATTTTTGTAGTGTCATCCTCCCCCTCCCTTTAATATCTAAAGGGAATATGGGGTTCATGTTAAAAAATATTGTTGGCTTTCCAGTTATGAAGAACCTTAAGGTCATTGTAAAAATATTGCATTGGGGGCCTGCAGCTTTTAAAAGGGATGTATAATCAGCTTTGATCTTTAGAAATGACTTGTATTAAAAACAAAAACATAATTTTAAAAATTCCATAACTTGGTTGTATTACTTAAAAAAGTAAGGGTCTTTGCCCCATGGATGGATTGTGGAATGTTTTGCTGTGTAAAATGCAGTGGAGACAAAATTGTAGACTAATGGAAGGAGGAGACAATGTTGTAGAATAATGCTTTTTATCAGACATGGCAAAAAGTCCAGAGGTCGTTTTAATAGACAAGACTTAGGTAATTGATAAGATTTTATAATTTAATTTGAAGAGCATTCAGTACCAATCCCCAGATCATCTTGCACATTGTACTGTATGAGAATTACATTTTACTTTCCCACCTGTACTGTAATCCTAAATCCCACATGGCCCTTCAGTTTACCTTATTTTCCTTCCCCCTACTCATAATAAGTCTTTCCAGTCTCCTCATGTTGTGTTCAGTCCCTGTGGGCTATGATGCAGCGTTGAAAGTAGTTATATACATTTTCTTCAAATTGAATGTGAGCTATCAGGTAAAATGAATTTTTATACCATTTCCTAGTGCTCTTGGGACAATTTGAAGGTAATAAGCAGCTTGTTACAAGACAGTAATTGTGGCTTTTTAGTACATTTGATCACTCATTCTTTCTGGAATAAAAATCCAAACCCCATTAATCCAACCCACAGTTGTAAGGACAAAAGTGTCATAAACCCCAATCCTGCAGTGAGCTGTTTGTGGACTGAGACCATATTTTGTAGGAAAAGTTTAGACTCTTACTATAAATCAAATATGCAATTGAAACTACTTTGTTGCTAATGGAGGAATGTATAGCTTTGTGAGGTAAGATAACACTGAATTACTAAAAACTTCGAACTAAGGCATAACTAGACCCCTAAAGTCCCAACCCTACAAGGTGATTCACAAGTGGGGACTCCTGTTGAAGCAGAAGGCAACTTATGGTAGGTGAGGAATTGCTACACAATCTTAAAAAATCAAACAAACATGCAGTTACATTGTATTATCTTTTAGGGATTTATGGGGCAGGGCCAGTGTTTACCCACACAGCCTTTTTCCATGTAGTCAAAAGTTTAATTTTTAGTAAACTTGGTCAAGAGAAGATGATGGAAGACTACAAAGCCAATGTTAAACTTCCTGCAGCTGAATTTATAATGTGACTCTACTCTGAAAAAGACTCCTGTAAAGATGGCATCATGGGGTTCCATATTTACTGTGTCTCAGTTCCAGGGCAAAGACCCACACAAGTGGAATAGGAATAGGATGGAGGTTCATTCATAGACTCTAGGGCCAGAAGGGACCATCATGATTTAGTCTGACCTCCCCAGTCCTACAAACACAGCATGTACTCATGTTAACTCATTTGAGTGGCCTCATAAGAGGCAATAAGACTATGCATATGTCAGGGGTCCCTCCCCACTCTGAACTAGGGTACAGATGTGGGGACCCGCATGAAAGACCCCCTAAGCTTATTTCTACCAGCTTAGGTTAAAAACTTTCCCAAGGCACAAATTCTTCGTTGTCCTTGGACGGGATTGCTACCACCACCAAGTGAGTTAGACAAAGATTCAGGAAAAGGACCACTTGGAGTTCCTGTTTCCTCAAAATATCCCCCAAGACCCTTTACCCCCTTTCCTGGGGAGGCTTGAGAATAATATACCAACCAAACAAGGTGAGCACAGACCAGACCCTCGGGAGACTAAGGGGGGATATGATAGAGGTGTATAAAATCATGAGTGGTGTGGAGAGAGTGAATAAGGAAAAGTTATTTACTTGTTCCCATAATATAAGAAACAGGGGCCACCAAATGAAATTAATGGGTAGCAGGTTTAAAACAAATAAAAGGAAGTTCTTCACTCAGTGCACAGTCAACCTGTGGAACTCCTTGCCTGAGGAGGTTGTGAAGGCTAGGACTATAACAGGGTTTAAAAGAGAACTGGATAAATTCATGGAGGTTAAGTCCATTTATGGCTATTAGCCAGGATGGGTAAGGAATGGTGTCCCTAGCCTCTGTTTGTCAGAGGGTGGAGATGGATGGCAGGAGAGAGATCATTAGATCATTACCTGTTAAGTTCTCTCCCTTTGGGGCACCTGGCATTGGCCACTGTTGGTAGACAGGATACTGGGCTGGATGGACCTTTGGTCTGACCCAGTATGGCCGTTCTTATGTTCTTTAGGAGTCTAAAAACCAATGAGGTTTTTAAAAACAGAACTTTATT